GCGCCCCCGATGGCGCTTTCAGCTGTCCCCATCCCCCGCTCCGCCCGTTCTCTCGTGTTCCCCTCCCTTGTCGAAGCTGGGGGAAACAAAAGGCACTGATGCCGCCACGCCCTGCACCTCTCCCGGGGTGCGTCCTGACCAGGACCTCGGGGCGAGTCCAGCGGTGGCGACGATTCGTCGACGAAGGAGGCCCAGAAGGCCCAGTGGGGGGAAGACGCGGGGAGGGCAGAGGCACGGCTAATTACCCCTCCCTCCTCCTCGAGAAGCCGCGAGCGGCGAGCCAGCTCGAGGGGGGCAGCGCACGCAGGTCGAGGAGCCGCGGCCTCTCCGTCCCCAGGGGGGGGGGGGGGCCTCTCGCGGGCGCCGGCGTGCCGGGGCCGAAGGCCGAGGCGTGGCCCTGTGGGATGCGCGAGGCCAGGGGCGCCCAGGGATCCAGCGTTGTCGCAGGTGTTCGCAGTCCCCAGACCCCCTCGAGTAATGAAAAAATCATGACGGGAGGTTTTTCCTAATTTTCGGCCTCGGGGGGCCCTCACCGGGCCTCGGGAGTGTCAAAAAACGACTCAGGATGCAAAGCCGGTCATGGAGAAAGGGTCGGGACCTACGGGGGTCGACGTAATGAAAAAATCATTACGTCGGGGGTCTGGGTCTTCAGCGCGGCGGGCCATCCCACAAAATCAGGGGGGGGCGTCGCGGTGCCCCCTGCGTGTTGGGTGGTCCTCGCGCCGCCGGGCGCCCCAGGGCGGAGGCGCTCTGCAGCTTTCGGCCTATCTGTCGGGGCCCCCGCTGGGCCCCAGGGCCGTCAGGAAGACGGTTCGGGATGAGAACACCTCGGGGGCGGAAAAGAGGGGGGGGATGACTACGTAGGGGGGGGTGGACATCGTGGCGGGGGCCATGATATTTTCCCAGATTTCGTGGCGCCTCTTCTCATTTCATCACGTCCCTGGCCCCCCCGCTGGGCCGCGCACATGCCGCCGGTCATGATTTGCATCCCCCCCCTCTTGGACCCCCCCCCTCCGGGCCGCTCCCGAAGACCAGTCCCGGGGAACGGGTCGAGACGTCCGGGGACCCCGCGCAGGGGAGGCCCATGCCAAGAGTGCTTGCCTCCCGGGTGCCCTGGGCCTCTTGGGTGTCGACGGCCCAGCTGTGGAGTGCGTGACGTTCCCCATGCCAGGCATAGATACGTGTATACAGTCGGGGCCCTGAAGAAGGAACCCTTTTCGTTTGGAAGGGGCTCCGTGTTCCTCAGCGGTTGTCAGTGCTCCTTGGGTCTTCCTGAGGTTTTCCATGGAAAGTCGGAGTTTAACTTATGGGAAAAAAAGGGGCCTCGTTCCTTATTTCTCGTTCCTTAGGTCAACGCCCCGACTGTGCCTCCCGGGGTCCCAGGGCTGGGCCTCTTGTGGAAGGTCTCTTGTGGTCGAGCTCCTCGTGGAAGGTTTCTTGTGGGTTTCTTGGGCTTCTTGTGGAAGGCTTCTTGTGGAAGGCTTCTTGTGGAAGGGTGGGCACCCCGAGGCCCAACGCACTGAGGAACTCAGGGCGGAGGCTTTTTTGCTGCAGTGGTCGGCCTCTGGGCGCCCCCGCCGGGCCGGGCCCCCCCCAGGGCCGTGGACCAGAACGGCTCGCAGGAGGAAACACTCCTCCTCCTCCTCCTCCTCCTCCTCCTCCTCCTTCGCCTCCTCCCCCTCCTCCCCCTCCTCCTCCTCCTCCTCCTCCTCCTCCTCCTCCTCCTCCTCCTCCTCCTCCGTCGTCGAGCACAAATCACGCGATGAAGACGTGGCCTCACTGAGGCTCCCGTCTTCGCATCGGGGATCATGACGCTGAGCGCTTCGGCCCGATGCGCCTGCAGACCAGGACCTCCTACCCCTGATGTGGTGGCCCTTCCCAACATAGGTCCCCTCCAAAAGGGTTACAGGGGTCCTTTTTTGGTTACAATGCCGTCTTTCATACATGCTCCGCGTGCGGATCGTGTAGTAAACATGCAGGGATTTAGCGTTAAGAACATTGAGGAGTTCATGCATAAACTTATTCCTCAATTAGTCATGTATTAAGAATCCCATATTGCGAAGGCCTTACGGCCGTTGCCGCCGACCCTGAAGATGACGAAAGACAACACGAGGGGGGGGGCAGGAGGAGGAGGAGGAGGAGGAGGAGGTAGTCATGTATTAAGAATCCCATATTTTTATTAATCCTATGTATCTAAAACTGCCCTGCAATCAGTCTGGGGGGCCCCGTGCCGAAACGACCACGACGCCGGCTCGCCGGGCGCGGGGCGGCCGCGCAGAGGGGCCGCCCCTGCGCCCCTCGGGGCCGCGGCCCCATGCCCTCGCCCGGAGCAGGCCGAGCCCTTCGCAGTAGGCGCTTGGGCTCAAGAGGCTCGGGGGCCACTGTAAAACAGGGCTAGGATCGGGATAAATCGCTCCAGAGCGTTCCGGAGCGCTCTCACAGCGTTCTGGAACGCTCTGGAGCGGCCGCGGCGCCCAATACATCCTCCAAACCCGCCGATTCTCAGAGATTTCGAGTTATCCCGATCCGATTTTGTCCCTATCTTCGCGTCGTTTTACACTGTGGGGGGCCACCTGCGAGCCCTAAATCCCTACCCCCCACGGTTTCTGGGGCCGGAGCAGCTCGAGCCTTCGCAGCAGGCACTCGGGCTCAAGAGGTTCGGGGACCGCTGAGCGTCCGGGCACGGATAAGGGGGCCGCACGCGAACCCCACCCCCACGCCCCCACGATTTCTGGACGGGGGGGGGGGGGAGGGTGGGGCTCACTTCGCTCGGGAGCTCCCGAGCGAAGCGAGCCCCCCCCTCCCCCCCCCAAAAAAAATCGTGGGCGGTAGGGGCAGGGTTCGCAGGTGGCCCCCTACCACGGAGCGTCCAGGCGCGGGGCAGCGAGCGGGGCCGGCGTCGGAGCCCTGGCCGACGCATGGTGGCCTTGGCTGGCCGTTGTCATGACGAGCTCCTGGTGGACGGGGCAGAGGATGAGTGGAGCAGTGGCGAAGCGTCCTGGCTCGCCCATAGCCCTACCGGACAATGTTCTAAGAACCCTTTGTGGTTCCCACAAAATGTTGTGAGAGAGCATTTCTGGTTGATATGGCCCTGTTTTGACACGTCGGGTTCACGTTCTAAGCACAAACATTGTTTTGGTTCTTAGAACATTTTTGGGCTCTAAGAACATGTCGTGGTAGGACTATAGGAATGCCGGGACGGTCAGTCCCTGCTCAGATGAGACCAAGGACCGACCACGACGTTGTCTAGCTCTGTTTAGGCCCTCGATTGCCCAGCCATCCGTGGTGTTGGGTCCTCGTTCTGAAGAGGCGGTCCCCGCATCCCTTCTCTCCTCCTCCTCCTCCTCCTGCTCCTCCTCCTGCTCCTCCTCCTGCTCCTCCTCCTCCTCCTCCTCTCTTCCTCCTCCCCCTCCAGCTCCTCCTCCTCCTCCTCTTCCTCCTCCTCCTTCTCCTCCTCCTCCTCCTCCTCCCGTCACCCCGCTCACTACTGGACACCCCTCACACGTTTCGTGGCCACATAGGGAGCTCCACCGAAGGCCCGAGTGACACCGTCCACATGCGTCCGCCACACCCATTTCGGCACACCGCTCACACGGTTCGTGGCCCCACAGGAAGCTCCACCAAAGGCTTCAGTGGCAATCGTCCACATGCGTCCGCCACACCAATTTCGGCACAACATTCACATGTGTGGTGGCCCCGCAGGGAGCTCCAACGAAGGGCCCAGTGGCACCGTCCACATGCGTCCGCCACGTCCATTCTGGCCAACCCCGCACACGTTTCGTGGCCCCATAGGGAGCTCCACCGAAGGCCCCAGAGGCACCGTCCACATGCGTCCGCCACACCCATTTCGGCACACCCCTCACACGTTTCGTGGCCCCATGGGGAGCTCCACCGAAGGCCTCAGAGGCACCGTCCACACGCGTCCGCCACACTCATCCCGGGACACTTTTCACGCTTCGTGGCCCCATAGGGAGTTCCACCGAAGACCCAGTGGCACCACACCCATTTCGGCACACCATTCGCATGTGTGGTGGCCCCATAGGGAACTCCAACGAAGGCCCCAGTGGCACCGTCCACATGCGTCCGCCACGCCCATTCCGGCCAACCCCGCACACGTTTCGTGGCCCCATAGGGAGCTCCACCGAAGGCCCCAGAGGCACCGTCCACATGCGTCCGCCACACCCATTTCGGCACACCCCTCACACGTTTCGTGGCCCCATATGGAGCTCCACCCAAGGCCCCAGTGGCACCGTCCACATGCGTCCGCCACACCCATGTCGACACACCCCTCACACGTTTCGTGGCGCCGTAGGGAGCTCCACCCAAGGCCGCAGTGGCCCCCCTCCACACGCGTCCGCCACACCCATTCAGACATACCTCTCACACGTTTCGTGGCCCCATATGGAGCTCCACCAAAGGACCCAGAGGCACCGTCCACATGCGTCCGCCACACCCATTCGGCACATCCCTCACACGTCTCGTGGCCCATAGGGAGCTCCACCGAAGATCATACTCACGACTGTGGTGCCCACAGCAGCATATGTTTGGGTCCTTCGCCAGGCAAATTGTTTTTAGCTTCGTTGTTCGTTGCTTTTTCGTTTCGATCTTCGTCGTTGTTTCAAACGCTTAGTTTCGTCGTTCGTTTTCGTTTGGCGCCTGCTTCGTTTTAAACGCTCGTTTTGCACGTTGGGCCTTGTTCCGTTGTTCGTTGTAAACGCCATTTTGTTTTAATCATCTCTGTGGTCGGTCCTTGGATGAGAGCGAGGATCTGAAGGCACTCGCATCTGAGCTCGCAGCATTTTTCAGTATGGGTGGGGGTGCAGAGAGCTTGCTGTCTACCTCAGGTCTTGAGAGACGGGCAGATAGGTACGGGGGCGAGGGGATTTTTGCTACTCGTGATTTGCCTCTGGGCTTTGAGCTTTTTATTCCCAGGCGTTATGCTTTTGATGCAGCTGTCGCTCGCAGAACGCGGCTCGGGAGTGCACTGAGGCCCGATCTCGGATTCACAGACGAGGACGCCTTTCTGGCAGTGCTTGCGGAAGCACGGCTGCCATCTTCCGAGTCTCCTTTCCGTCCCTATGTATCTACTTTGCCACAGGCCGCCCCTGATGCTGCATCTTGGCCTGCGATTGCCCGGCGGATGTTGGTCGGCACGGATCTTGGCGCAGCTCTAGTGGTGGCGGAGCGGGACCTTGTTGAGTTAGTCACTCGATTGCACACTGTCTCTTCAGCTGCACACCTAAATCTTGAAGACCTGCGTTGGGCCCGTGGCATCATGCTAAGCCGGAGATTTCCAGAGTTGAACAACGACGGTAGTTGCATTGGGGCAAGTGGCATGTGGGGGACACTGGGTTTGTTAGTTCCCA